CACGATATGTGAAAAAAAGTAATATCACAAATGCCAACCGAAGAGCATTAAGAAGAATGATCATGAAAAACAGGCGTGCCAACTATTTACATTTAAGTGCTCTGTGGAGTGACGCTGTTTGAAGGAGAATTTCGAGGTCCACAACTCATAGAGAGGCCCACAAACTGAGATTTAGCACTTGCAAGGTAAGTTTTCTTATAAAAAAAAGTGAAGTCTAAACCCTAAAGTTGCACAACTTGTTTACAGGCCAAAGAAAAGCCACTATTAACTCCACTGCAAAAAAAAGCGGCTTAGATAGGCTAAAGAACATAGACAATGGACACCTCAACAATGGTGTGCAATACAATGGAGGGATGAGGCCCGATTCGAAGTTTATATTGGTGACAGCCGCAGTAGAGTTATTCGCAAAAAAAATGAAGCATTCCATGTTGACTGTCTGAAGAGAAAAGTGAAATTTCCAGCATTCATTATGGTCTGGGGCAGTAAGTCATCAAAAGGAGTAGGAAAACTTCATTTTATTGATGGAAATCTCGATACAAACTAATATTTGGCAATTTTAGAAGAATCGCTTTTACCAGTGATGGAAGAATGTTTGACATCCGGCCAAGATTTTGTGTTTCAGCAAGATGGTGCAGCGTGTCATACCTCAAAAAGGCTATAAAATGGATGGAAGAAAATAATGTACCACTTTTGAAATGGGTTTCTAGCAGTCCAGATCTGTCACCTATTGAAACTTTGTGGCACGAGTTGAAAAAGGTTCTACGACAACATCCTGCTCGTACAATCAACGAACTGAGACAAAAGCTTCAAGAAATATGGGATTGTTTTACACCAAATTTTTGCCAAAACTTGGTTAACACTATGCCCCAAAGAATTTGAGCCGTAATAAAAGATAAAGGTGATGTTACCCATTGATAATCTTTCAATTGTTGCTTTGTCTAGGTCTAAGTGATTTCAAATATGTATTTTTTACGACTAGGTGTATCTAAAATGTTTTTGAGAAAATAAATTGTTTTAGAAGTAAATAGTTTCGTCATGTTTAGTTTATAAAGGCATATTTTGTACAAATCTTGAAGTGGGCCATCTGAAGCGGGAAGGTTCTTGTAGTCTAGGATCAGTCTAGGCATTCCAAACATATCCGAGATAATCCAATAAGATCCATGGAAACACAAATAAATTTCAAGATTCTCAATTTAACTGCAAGAGATATGAGCTGATCCAGGAGAATCTGACGTAATACGAAGGGATTCGAGATCATCTAACTCTATTAGCGAAAACCTGAAAAAATCATGAATTCTTCCCGGCCACTTGGAAGAAATACTAAATAATCGAAGGAGACTTTTTATACCGAAGCAGACGCGCAGGCAGAAGCCTAAATGCCAGGAGACCGCGGCACAGAAGTACTTCTTGGCTCTAATCAAATAGCCCAGCAGGTGTCGCTATTGACGAGATGTGTTCGTGCCAGATCAAGTCCTCTGGTGATCTAGAATCCGCCCAGCCGGACTGAACGGATCTTTGGCCGAACTCGGCCATCCATCGAAACCGGATGAGCTCTAGGACGCTTTTTGTTCGTCTGTGTTTTGGTAGCATTACCCTGTGCCTAACTTTTACATCGTGCTGGCTTTCGGTGTAAATAGATCCGAAGAAAGAGACGAAAATCTGACATGCTTCGTGGATGTTCAAAGTGATCCAAAAAACTCTGATTAAAGGTCATATTTTGTTCTAAAAAAGTGTGAGTCGTTATCCAGTGCCTTGCGCCTTAGGTGAACACGCGCGCAGTAAGAAACCTATTTAAGTAGTAATAATAATATACGCCTTTATTGCAAAAAATATGTACATGGTACATACTGAAAGTGGGACTCAACTGGCGAAGTTTAGCAATGCTACTCTATATACACACATATACACATACATATATACACAAATATATATACACATACATATATATCATATTCAACCAATTTATCAAATTTGAGCCATATCTGTGATACATGGTCAAATTTTCTCAATCCACACATAAAACGGACAAAATTATTCTGTATAATTTGAATTCTATTTTTCGTTATTTTGTCAAGGCATGGGAAATAAAGGATGTTACAGTAGTTCAAACAAGACATCATTAGCGTTTCACACAGTTTTTTCCTGAGCTTATAGTTCAGTAAGTACCTACAAGAGTACAAAGTGCGTAGGCGGAGGTAAGTTTTTTAAGCAAGACAGTTGATATGACTATAAAACCTTAACTTCTCATCGACCTCGACACCTAAAGTATGGGCAGTAGTACCAACCTGAAGAAGATTTCTGTCAATAAAGATATTAAGGTTACCGTTGACGTAGTTTCTTTTATTATCAGAACAGAAAACTATGATTTTTGACTTCTCAGGATTAACTGATAAGTTATGATTGGCTGAATATTTACAAACCATGTCAATATCATGTTGTAGCTCTATATTAGCTGTTGATAATTCACTAGCTTTAAAATAATGCACTATTTGGGTATCGTCTGCAAACGATTGCATTTCAGAATTTTGGTATGACACTTGAGACAGAGCTCTGTCTAGATAGAGACACTTCCTGAACTCGGTCGGTTAAATACGCACAGGAAAATTTAAGTGAGGTATTATCAAAGCCAATATATTTCAATTTAGCTAGAAGGAGATGATTGATCCTATCAAATATCTTAGAATAATCAACCGATATCAAAGCTACTGTGTTTTTTTAATCAAGCGCACGTAACACATTGTCGCATAGATTTAATAAGGCAGCTGTTGTACTATAGTGTTTTCTGAAACCAGACTGATTAGTGGATAAGATTTTGCATTCCTCAATGTAAGCAGCTATTTGAATCTGAACGATATTTTCTAAGATTTTTGATAACGCCGGCAATAAACTTATTGGTCGTAAATCTGAAAGCTGGGTTGGTTTGTTAATTTTAGGGATAGGAATAACTAAGGCACGTTTCCACACAGTGGGAAAGTAGCCTTTCTCAATACATGCATCGATTAGATGTACAATATAAGCAAAAGTAGACTGTAAGGTTTTTATTGCCTGAAATACATCAAAAGGTTCGGCAATTCTTAGAGAAAAGTAATTGTTTGGGTGAAATTTATCTCGATTATAAAATTGAACTACATCTTCGGAAATATTATTAGCACAGTCATTAACAGCATCGGGATCACTAAAATTTGACGGTATAGTGGGTTTACTACTAAAATTTATATCAATATTTTTTATTCTATTCCACAACCCTTTCGCATTACCTTGCTCCGATAACAATTCAATGTACGCTTTTTTTGTTTGCGAATCTCTAAGAGAACATTGTTTCTTTTGTGTTTATACTTAGCAAAATTTTCTTCCGTTCGATTCTTTCTAAAAAAAGCCAAACCTTCATCTTTTTCTTTCAGTAGTTTCTTAAGGTTGCTGTTCAACCAAGGAGCAGGTTTTTTGTTAACTCTGAATGTTCTGATTGGAGCGTGTTAATCATATGCATCTAAATCAGCTTTAGTTAAGTATTCAACGCGGTGATCCAACAACCTGTGAGTCTGTATACTTTGGCACAACTTCAGCGTTGCGAGTTGTGAGTTGCGAGCCTTCCTTTCCCATTTACTCACTCGAACTTTAATTAGAGGCCAGCGGTCATAACCGGTGTAGTCCTTTAAGTTGTTGCCATGCGCTTGCCGGACTGTATAATTCACTTGATGTATGTTTCAGGTGTCCGTTCGTCTGTTGTGCTTGCTTATTTATGTCTGCCGTCGTTTGAGAAGCTCACCCGCATTCCGTTGCTGAGCCAACAACGTGTTTGTTTTGTAGTTGGATTTCAAAGTGCTGGCTACTGAAAGTCTTATGTATGCATTATACGAGTATAACTCTAGCATCTTAGCAAAATCTTTACAATAAAATTCCTTGTCTTTGTATTTTTGTCGATCTAAGAAAAGCTTTCGACACAGTAAACCGTAAATCATTATTAAACACATTAGAGTTTCGAGGAAAAAATTCTTATTCAATCCGTTACTGTATCAAAATTTTCCAGTAACGAAAAGTTTATCAAATGTGGCGTTCCACAGGGAACCGTTTTGTGTCCACTGTTTTTTAATGTACCAGCCCCTTCCCACTTCAGTAGGCCTACTTCAAGATTTGTACCAATATATGCCTTTATAAACTAAACATGAAACTATTTACTTCTAAAACAATTTATTTTCACAAGAACATTTTAGATACACTCTAGTCGTAAAAAATACATATTTGAAATCACATAGACTTATAACTAATAGAACATCTGAACAAATAAACAACGTGCGAATAAATGCGCGAAGTTAACTAAGCAACAATTTAAAGATGGGTAACATCACCTTTATTTTTTATTGCGGCTGAAATTCTTTGGGGCATAGTGTTAACCAAGTTTTGGTAAAAATTTGGTGTAAAACAATCCCATTTTTGCGAATAACTCTACTGTGACTGTCACCAACATAAACTTCGAATCGGGCCTCATCACTCCATTGTATTCAACACCATTGTTGAATTGTCCATTGTCTATGTTCTTTAGCCCATCTAAGCCGATTGTTCTTTTGCAGTGGAGTTAATAGTGGCTTTTCGTTGGCCTATAAACAAGTTGTGCACCTTTAGGGTTTTTAATTCAATTTTTTTTATAAGAAAACTTACCTTGCAAGTGCTAAATCCCAGTTTGTGGGCCTCTCTATGAGTTGTGGACCCCGAAATTCTCCTTCCAACAGCGTCACTCCACAGAGCACTTAATTGTAAATAATTGGCACGCCTGTATTTCACGATTATTCTTCTTAATGCTCTTCGGTCGGCATTTGTGATATTACTTTTTTTCACATATCGTGGCTAAATATTAACTGAACCAGTTACGTTATATCTTCTAACAATATTTCTCACACTGTATCGCGATAAGTCTAACGGCCGTATTCACCAATTCGGAGTTTGCCAGACTGTTACTTATCAGCCGTACAAAATATAACAGTCTGTTAAACAATAGTGGTATTCACCAAGACTTTTCGGCTTCTGATAACAAACTGACTGTCATACAAAAACCTTAAATTTCTTGAAGTTGGTACCTCTTGACAAACAACGAGAGAACGACATCTAACCCCACTTTATAGCTGCTGTGTGTTGTCATCTGGCTGTCATTCACAATTCACAGTTTTGTAGTAGGTTTGCATCATGGAAAAGTCGGAGAAAAAAAGATCAGCTAACTACACATCAAGGGAAAAAGAGACAATACTTTCCTTGGTTGAAAAATATCAAGGTATAATTGAAAACAAAAAGACTAACTTTATATTCAACAAACGGAAAAATGAGTGTTGGGAGAAGCTTGCGTGGGAATATAATTCCATACAAACAACTGGCCCCAGAACTGGCCAACAACTAAAAAGCTGCTACGAGCAAATGAAAAAAATTGCAAAACAACACAAATCTGAAGACAAGGTATTATCATTATTCTCACAGGATTTGGACAAAGAAATTAACTTGTTCTCTTTTTTCAGATGAATTTGTTGCAAACGGGCGGCGGGATATCTATTCCTCGAACCACCACATTCGATGAAAAAGTTTTAATCCTTTTAAAAGACAATTACTTCACAATACCAAATAAATTTGACAGCAACAACTATGTTACCAAACCAGATGAAAGAAGAACCCCTAGAAAGCCCTCTGCTACTGGAAGTGGTGATCAGGAGAATATGGAGGAAAGCATAAATTTAGTATATGAAGATCACTTGACAAATATTGGAGATGATCAAACGCAGATTCACCATGATGACATGCAGATTGATGATGATCAAATCATTAACAACATTATTCCAGATATTTTGGAAGAAGGCAGTGTAAATGAACCTCAATTAGGAAGTGCAAGTGAAGCAGAGGATAGTAAGTCAAAAAAAAGAAAATTTAATTCCGGAGCCCAATATCATTCCATAGACCCACTACAACATAAGCCTTTCAGTGGTCCGAGACTAAAAAAAATGGTTTCGAGTAAGCAAAGTAAAGTTATAGACATAAATAACAAAAAAGCTGAAATGTATGGTTTAAAAATTGAGGTATTAAAGACAATTGCAAAAACTGAACTGGAACATTTAAAAGGAGCAAAACTAGAAAATGACATTAAAGAACTCATTAAACAAAAGGAAATAGTTAACCTCAAAATGAAAAACATGGAATTAAAAAAATATGTCTCATTAAGCTAGGAGTGGCTGCTGTACAGAAATTGAAAGTTTTGTATGATATCCGTAGTGATATTCATGTGATGAATCTATAAAGAAGGTTTTAAGGAAAATGTTTATTTTGTAAAGATTTTGCATATATTAATGGGATGATTCAGCCGGTGAAAGAAGTCCAGCACTTTTATGCTGAATAGCAGTAGTCATAGAATGGTTTTTACATTTCACAACATTAACCAAAAGATCAAATATGAGAGTTATTTCATGGCTACTGCTGCCCAGCATAAAAGTACTGCACTTTATGTTAGCTGAATGGTCACATTGTCTCCATGTAATAGATATGTGTATGTTCACCATATATATTTTTTGTCCTTGAACAAGTTTTGTGATGTTATATTTAAGTTACATTTCTATGGTTTATAAATAAGTTGCAATAAAAGGCTGATGACATAACTTCAAGTTATATTTAATAAAAGTGTATGAAGTATTTACTACTAAGTTGAATTATTTCTGTTCCCATGTAGATACAACTTATAGGCAAAATGTCAAGTTATCCGTATCGAAAGTAAGATACTTAAAATTTCCATAAGAATTTTATTTTAAACAGATAGACACTTTGAATAAGTACATGACGTAAATCTTTACATTATAATTAATGTTTTCATGGCAACGTAAAAATTGCTGAAATTATTGAGTCTCTGGTTGCAGTATTTTGATATCCAATTCGGACCTAGATCTCTTCAATTTGTTCCATTTCAGGACCATTCTCAAAAAAATCGATAGTGTCATTCTGTTCTAGGCACATGTTGTGCAGCACAGCAGTTGCCACAATAACCTCACACATGGTTTCAAGTTTTAGCCTCATACCTAGTGACAGGCATGGGAATCTTCTTTTCCATACACCAAACAATCTTTCTACTGGGTTTCTGGTTTTAATTTGGGCATTATTGTACCGCTGTTGTGGTAACGTTTGAGGGTCTTGTAAGGGTGTTAATAAATACACTCTACAAGGATAACCTCCATCTCCAACCAGACAGTAGGGTGAAAATTCATTATTTTCAAAATGACCTCTTATGTTTGAGTCATTGAATATTGTTGTGTCATGAACTGAACCAGGCCAACGTGCAACTATGTCCATTATTTTCAAATCGAAACTACCTATTATTTGTGTATTAATACTGAAATAACTTTTTCTGTTTCGAAATACTTCTGCGTTTTCACCTCCAGGTGACTGAATTTTGATGTGGGTGCAATCCACTGCTCCTAAAACAACATTGATATTTAGTTCATTGAAAATACATCTAAAATAATAATCATAGAATGAAAATAGTAGCGAACGTTACCTATAATTCCAGGCAATTGTGCTAGATTATAAAACCCAAGAACAACTGCCCTCCTTTGATCTTCTGTTTCTGGCATTGTAATAAATTGTGGCCGCAATGCAGCAATGTGTCTTGTTATTTTCTTTACTATTCTGGAAACGGTAGGCTGAGATACATTGAAAAGGTCAGCAACATTAATCTGGAACCTGTAGCAAAAAATCGAAGACATATCAAGATTTGGTTTGCTTTTGAGATTGGCTGGTTCCTTTCATTTATCGGTTCTATAACATTTTGCAATACATTTTCCAGTCGCCTAAATGTATTTTTATTTATTCTAAATCTTCTTTTGAACTCCAAATCATCTAATTCAATCAAGGGAAACCTCCTAGTTCTTACAATTCTTTCTCTCGGGATATCTTCAATGTCACTCGTGTCTGTTTCCGAAGATTCTAATATGTCGATAATATCAATTCTACTGAGGCTATCCATTTTGATACTTATACAAAACAAGCCCCTACTCGCTGTCCGCTGACTGTGTTTTGTAAATCACTTCTACGAAATCTCCAGGCAAAATAAAGTCGGGATGACACTTTTGACGTTTTAGAATTAAACAGTCAGTTAGTGGTTTACCAGTCCAACATCGCGCTGTTAACTTATCCATGACTTTAACAGACCGTTTGCTATGGTGAATACTAAAAATGGATTTAACAATGTGTTAAACAATTTAACAGTCTGTTAGGGAATGGTGAATACGGCCGTTAAAAAATTTAATTATCAGTAACCGAATTTTCTCACTAATAACCTTTCCTCTACCCATTTTGACAACCTTAACAACCCAAAACCATTTTAAACGTATTCTGACAGCTGTGATTAACAAAAACAATTGTCACGGCTTTTATTTTTCACAGCCACCTATGCGTTATAGACTTATTTTGCATTGAAATGAAAATAGGTTGATATGCTGTAACTGCTACATGTGTTATTTTTATGCTGCAAATTTGATTAGGGAGTGATAAAGTTGGTGTTTTCTACTATATATTATCGAAATATTCATTGTTAACATTTTAAACCTATAACACCCTGCTACATTTTTATTATTTGTGTTTGATAAGAAAAAAGCTAAGATTTCAATAGCTGGGCCAACTGAAGTGGGAAGGGGCTCGTACTAAGGCGGTTCAATATGTACCCGGGTTATAAATGAAGACACCATTTTTTCCAAAAGAATTCTTTTTATTTTTCAACATAATCCCCACTTTTCCCAACGTTCCTGCCATTTTTTTATCTCCCCGAATTTTTTCCCATCCAAATACAAAAAGCGCACGATACTGCCCTTTTTCCATCTTAATGAAAATCAAGAAACACGTGTTACTGAAATGGCGAATAGGTGCATGGAAACCAACCTTTTATATTGCAAAGAGAACATACAAACCTCTCATTTTTCAATCAAAGCTTAATGCTAGGAACAATTCAGTATTATTAATTGTAATAGTAGTCATACTTCTCATATTTGCAACAGATCTGACACAAGTAATGTACCGGGTATCACGTCTAGCAGCTTTATTGATTTGCTCGAGATAGAAAATAAGCACTTATACTCCTAATTAGAAATAGTATTGTTGACATACACAGAACATTTCCTACTTGTATTTATATTGCATACACAACAAACGTTAGAACTGAAGTCCCCGTCACATTTTAGTGAAAAGCAGTCATGTTTCGGCGTAAAATGTAATGGACAATGACATTAGAACAATGGCAGAGTCCTACAGATTTTAACTTCATTTTCACTTTTTGGACCACAATACCATCAACTTGTAAAACTAATCTAACCTAGATATATTTTTTTCGTCACCAGCGACTACAATTCATGTCGTGAAAGATCGTGTTATCTGGCACTTCCATTTTATATCCTGGGATTCTACACAAAAATGATTGAAAATTGAATACTGATAACATAATAAGCTTGTTTTTACCATGTCCATTGTAAAAATGAAAGGTTTACTTTGAAAATTTCGACTTAAACCTGATAATCATTATCAAGGTCATTGTTAAGGCACCATCATTTTGCTGCTCGAAACCCTAACACTTTCGTTTAAAACTTTTTTTAAACGATGGGTGGTTTTCGAAATATTTAGGTGGGGAGATTAAAATGGGACATCCTCTATAAAAAAACTAGGACTTGCTTTACAGGCTTTTTTTTTGATATGCTTGAACACATGCAAAGGAAAGGATATAATTGCGTGGTACGCAGCAGCCGACTAGCCTATAACATTTTCAGTGTCTAGGCAAGTGCATAGTGTAGCAACAAGTTAAAGGTTAGTCTAATATCTATGGGGAGAAATAAATTAATCCAGCAAGGAGCGTCTCCTAGAATTAAATTCTTTTACGTGAGTCAATTAATTGTTATAGTCAATCTTAAACACACGGTTTTAGAAGAGCGAGCGATCAACATGTCAGAAAATAATGCAATCTAGATTAGTTTTTGTATCAGCAGTTTGAGGACAGTTGAGATTTTTCTTCTTGGGTCTGACTATACTTAAAACCTAAGAGAGAATTATAATTTGAAGCCAATCTAATTTTTGTACCTATTACTAAATTCAATGAGCGGGAAAAAACTAATAGAGAAATATGCTTTCCATTCAACGTCAAACCTTCAATTTTTCGTAGTTTCTGTTTGCGTCCCAAACATTTGCACAATTGTTAACTACTTCTTTCATTGTTACAGGTGAGATCATTTACAGAGCAATATGGTGTCGTGGGTAAGTTGTAATCGAGAGAGCCACACCGAGTTGCTCAGAAAAAGCAGTCTTTGAGCCTTGGGAACTTGAACAATAATTTTTATTTTATTAATAACTTACCAAATCGGTACTTCTCGATCTAATTCAGTTCTTTTTTGCTTCTGAGAGCATAAAGCAACCCGCTACATAGCTTATTCATATTAGCCATCGTACTATATCTATTAGGCTTCACCTTGTGGCATTCTATGCATTAAAACCGATAATTTTGAGTGCACCAACACAAAGAATGGACTCGGATTTCAGTCGCAGAGGCACACAGTAAAGATATTGAACTTGGTGGGTATTTGCTCTTTTTGTTTATCCGCCTAACAGAAATTTAACTCACATATGATAAAAATTTTGAGAACAATAGGTCGCCAGGACCGACCGGCGGTTAAACAGACGCATTTATTGGCAGCTCAATTTTTTTTTCAAAAACGCTCAGACTCATCGATTTTGTTTTCGAAGGGGACACAAGTTTGGCAAAAAATCATGTTAGCACGTGCAGCCCCCTAAGCGGGGGTGACACCACCCCCAAAATCTTAAATGGAAAGGGGGGTCGAGTGATACCTTATTTTAGAGATCGTTCAATGTTATTTATAATGATATAAAGTTAATGTACTTCAGTTCAGTAGTTTTGGAGATTTATTGATTTAAAGCTTAAATAAAACTAATACATCATCATTAGTGGAGATCAATACATTTGGCAGCATAGTAATTTAAAAATGGAGAATGAACTGACCCATTAGGCAAGTAAATGTTGAAAATGGCCACCATGACGCTCCATGCAATAATAAAGATTTTGCTCAAAACGTTGCCCGAACATTTTGCAATATTTGAGGAGTAATTTGAAGACACTCATTCACAAGCCTTTGTCGCAGGTTTTCTAATAATGTTGGCTGAGTGGCATAGATTTTGCTTTTTAAATGACGCCACATAAACAAATCCAAAAGTGATAAATCTGGCGATTTTGGGGGCCATTCAATGGCACCTCTTCTACCAATCCATCGATCTGGAAACGTCTGATCTAAATATTGTCGAATATGTAATGCGTAATGTGGTGGGGCACCATCCTGTTGGAACATCAGCCTATTCGCAATGTACCGCCTATCATTCTGATTTTCAATTATGACTGTTATTGCAGGATCTATGGCGTCTTCTAGTAATTCCAAATACATTTCACCGGTCAAATTTCCAGGTAAGAAAAAAGGACCAAATAAATCATCGGCAAAAATACCAGCCCAAACATTTAATTTTTGTGGCTGTTGTGTATGAACCTCATGATAAATTCTGGGATTAGAATCGGACCAATATCCGCAGTTATGACGATTTAGTACGCCATTTAAGAAAAAGGAACATTCGTCGGAAAAGCAGGTGTTGAATAGAAAATGTTCATCATTTATAATTCGTTCACTCATATCTTCACAAAATTGTATTCGCCGATCAAAATCGTCTTCATTAAGTTCTTGTACCAGGTGAATTTTATACGGATGAAAACTACGGGTCTTTAGAATCCGTTGGACAGTACGTCGACTAACACCACACACAGTCTTCAATTTGCGGGTACTTAACGTAGGATCTACATAAACTTGCCCTAAAACCCCCACTTCTATTACTTCATTCCTTATGGGATTTTCAATCTTGCGTTTTTAAGTCGCGATTGACCCAGTTTCCCGAAATTTAGCTACAAGTTCGAGAACATATTTTCGATGCACGTTACTGTTCTCATGTCGCTCATTAAATATTTCTGCTGTTCTATTAGCGCACTGATTATTTCAGAAAAATATTTCGATAGTTTCAACTCTTTCTGCTGTGGAATATACCATGGTAAATTTATGTAATAAAGTTATTTTAGCAACAAAGTTTGGTCAAATCAATCGCAAACTATGTACTAAGTTGGAGATATTTCGTTATCTTTCTTCAAGAAATAACTTTTTTGCCACAAAAAAACGCTCCAATAGCTATTTTCAACAACAAAATGATAAACAAACCAGGGGCGTAGTGAAGAAAATCATTTACTTATTACGTAAATTCTTTTAGTCAGATTTCTTCTGAAAGTACTCGTAGTACAAACTAATCTCATGTACCTATTAAAGTCTATTTTAAGCTTTAAATCAATAAATCTTCAAATCTACTGAACTGAAGCTCATGTATTTTACATCATTATAAAGGGAATTGAAAGACCTTTAAAAGAGGGTGTCACTCGACCCCCCTTTCCATTTAAGATTTTAGGGTTGGTATCACCCTCGCCCAGGGGGCTGCAAGTGTTAACGTGATTTTTTGCCAAGCTTGTGTCCCCCTCGAAAACAAAATCGACGGGTCTGAGCGTCTTTCAAAAAAAAAGCTGGGCTGCCAGTAAATGCGTCTGTTTCGTTTTCGATGCGCCACCCTGTATACGTACACATACTCAGGGGTGAAAACCGAGCACATGCCGAGTTTGGTACGCTGAGTGACACCCATGTTCAAACGCAGGCTACATAAGTTTCATACGAAAAGGCTGCTTTATCCTATTCTTAAATTTGGGACTTTTCTTTACACTGCGCACAGTTCATGTAATTACTAATATAATTTGAGACTTTTCATTTTGAAAACGACAACCTTTGAAATAACAAAGTAAAATTGTGGTAAAAATCGAAAAAAAGAAATCGAAGAAAACTACTCTAGGTCTTCTACGCTGCTCTGATAATACTTGCGGAGTATCTTGAAGACGCTCACAGTAACCACGCATCAAATGGATAACTACGTTAGCTGTAGGAACGTGCCAATTTTGGTTTTCAAATGCGGTTTGTTTATGAACTAGGACAACTTACACAACGCGCGGCACATAGTACCACAACACATTATACAACACCTGTTGGCTTAGAAGCAGGGCGAGGTAGGGCCGGAATGGTTTGTTGTAATTTAATATCTCGGTTACCTTAAGGGTTTGCGTTACTACGAAATCGATCCTGACCTATAGAAAACAG